AAAGGCTCGAAGCGCGGTACAAAGTCAACAAAAAACATATCTATAATTCACCACATTTAAAACAAACACAACACTACAAAAACTAATTACAAGCATACAATATCAAAGTCTTTCTAGCCATTTCAACCCGGAGCAACACAGCAACACATGGGAAATAAGGTAGACAATCATCCCAGAAGGTATTTGCGAAATAGATGTGTCTTTAGATCTGTTTTAAAGGACTCCAGTGTCTGGTTGTTTCTAAGATGTTAATATAAAGAATTTTAAAATGGCATCAGTTCCGATTAAGAGCCCCCCCCCCCCAAACACGGAAAGTCTCCTTGTCACTTTGAGTTCGAGTGAACCTTAAGTCAGACTGACACATAAAACAGTCCCTTAGTTGTGACATTTTCATGTGCTTATTCACTGACTCAAGTAGCAGACAATGCACTTGTTCTTCCTTTTCATTCTTGCAGACATCAAAAGACATCCGACGGCAGACTCCCATAATCCTCTATTTGTTGACTTCCGTCTTGTGAACTGCGGGTATTATTGCATTGATTTGTTCTTTCTCCCTATTATTTTATAACTCCTTTTTAAGGAGATGTCGGAGAGGCCAGTCACTATTTAAAATAATCATTACATCATTACAAGTACGTTAAGATTAAATCCATTGCCTGCTCCGCCACCCCCCAAAAGGACATATAATATACATATAAGAATGTTATTCTTTATTGATCCAAAAAAAAAATGAAAATGTTTTTATGACATTTGACATATTCATTTTCAACACAGAAGTCAATACACATTTTAACCAAGACAACATTTTACAACTCTAACAATTTAAACACAAAACATCTAAAGTATTTCTCTGGCGTAGATATCAGCAATCAATGGACTCCTTTAGTGACAATAATGACTTACTTAGTGACCATATAGATTTGGTCACCGCTGGAGGAGGCACGCTGTTAAATTCGTACAGACTCTGGAACAAAATAATTTTTATATCTTTCGGTCCTAACTTTAAGAGAAAGATTTTGCCCTGGTCGGACTGATCTTAGGTATCTGTGATGAAGTGGGTGGGATATGATCTTAGGTATCTGTGATGAAGTGGGTGGGATACATCATCAATTTTTTTAAAAAAAGTTTTACCACAGAATTTTTCTTCAAACAATTCTTCAAGGGAATGACGGTTTGCTTGTGTGATGACGTATAACCTTTCTTGATTAGTCTGTTGAATCTGTGTTTGATGTCAGACAAAGAATTCCCACACCAGCAGGTAATACTGCAGTTCAGTTGGTTTCCACTAGTTGCACTGTAGAATAAGTTAATAACTTGTTTGCTTACGCCGGAATTGTGCAATTTTTTAAGTAAGAAAAGTGTTTGGTTAATTATTAATTGTACTTAGCATTATGCATTGGTCATGCC